GTATAGTAGGGATAGTGGGTAGGTCGGGCATGGCTGACTAACCTAAGGCATAGTCTGGCACCTGCTTGTGTGCCTGTCCTTGTTCTACGTCCGGCTTGGGTGTAAGCCCAAGTTCCATTCCATGCTAGCTGGTGGAGTACCTATATCCTTGCGTTAGGCCACTGGTATGCCAAAATAGCACTAGACTCCATTTGGCTCCGTTTTGCGTGCTAGTCTTGGCATTAGGATGCTGGTTGCTCTAGGATTGTTCCAAGTTGCTCCGGGCTCCTGTTCCTTCGCTCCTTTGGCTGTATGCTCGAGAGTTGCTCCATGGTTCGATTCCATCACTCTTTGGCTCCATGCTTGGGAGTTTGGCACTGTTTCTTCGTTCAGTGGCCCAAGGCTTTGAACCTCAGGTTCCACACCACTGTCCTATGGACACGTGGCATGTGACACATGGCATATGACATGTAGCACATGGAAGGTTTAGGTTTCGCTTCATGGTGTTATTCTATGGTAAATCACCATAGGATAAAGGGTCAAAACAACGTGTGTTACATTTGGTATTAGAGGATATGTCTCAGTGAGTACTATCGAATGAGATTGGGCAATTAGTCTCTCTTCGCAATCATTCCTTGGGTGTGGATTTGACTACCTTTTTGTACTGTAGTTTTGTGAGCTTGCTCTTGGGCTCAAAGGATGGATTAAAATGCTTCGTTTGCACGAGTTTGTGTTTGGGCTCGTGAGTGAGGCACATTAGCAACTCAAGGTCACACTTTGAGTTAGCAGGATTAATGTTAGCCTAACGGTGGTTCCATGAGTTGTTCCAATGGTTCCATGAATTGTTCCATGTACCATGAGTTAAAGCAAACCTTCCCTGAGTTTGCTATGAGTGGCAAATAGGCTAGTCCGTAGCTGTTTAGCACGACACTAGTGGATCCTTCTTAGGCATGATTATAAGTGGATCAATCAAGACTATAGAGATGAGTCTATTGATTCAAGTAATCATTGCTGTGCTCTCTCATAAATTTATTTTAGATTGGACTGAAGGTAGTGTGAAAGCAAGCTTGAGGTTTAGTCAAAGATGAGACCGAAAAGAGAGTTGTCAAGGACGAAGGATCAAACACGTAAATCATTTTCTCTTCTTGGAAATATGATTTACAATGAGGTGTTAACTCATTGCTCGTATTCACATTATGCAATCAAGGGTCCTTATCTTGGTGCATATTGGAAATGATGGTTTTGTAAGTGGTGAGTCATGGGATGGATAGCGGTGAAGCGCTATACCATTTTGTCTAGGCTTGCTATTAGAAAAATTCAAGTTGCAATGCTAAATTCTTTTCCGGGGAACCTTGCTATTGCTCCTTGAGTAACTTGGTGTTGGATTAGTTTTAAGTTTGGTCGGAAAGAGAGCGGCATGAGCTTGTTCATGTTATGAACAAAAGTTAGTGGTGTTGGGTGTTGTAAATTGCTATCGGTGGAGTGTGGCATTTATGTTGCATTTTGTCGAATCGAATTGGCACTTGATGCTCACATAAACTTTTGAAATAATGACATGGGTGTTGCTCGTATTGTTGCTCAATTGATGATCAAGTCATTGTGATACTTATATCATATCCATGTGATAGTGAGTAATGTGTTTACGAAGTTGCTTGGTTAAATGATGATCAACCCCAAAGTGGTTGATGGTGAAGCTAGTTTACTTGTATGTAGTAGCATTATAGTAGCTTTGACTGGATTCTCAATGGTGATCCATTATGCTAAGCTTAAGTTGGTACGTTGTTTCCTAAGGAGTTTGCCTATTAAGGTGTTAAAAAAGTGTTATAGCATTCACTTGCTATGGCTTGTTAATTTATCTATTAGCATTTGGAGTAGATTGTTGGATGGAAAAGGTGTGTAGTTGAGGCATTGACATTGCTAGCACTTGTGTTAGTGGAAGTGGCATTGTTGTTTGAGTGATGAGGAATTTTCCTTAAAGCATGATTTTCCATATCATTTTTCTTATTAGTGTTTTGGCTTCATATTAGATCCTGAAGGTGGTTGAAGAAAAGTGTTAGTGTAATGTGGATATCTAAAGATGTGGTCTTCGTGATCAAGCCTTGGATGTTCATTTTGCATTTTGCGGATGTTGGTGTTAGATTTGAAGATATGGGCATGATGTTTGAAGCTTAAGCATATTGTTAGATCATGAGAATTTGTGTTGAGGTGAACTTATGTGAAGTAGTAGGTAGGAGGAAGTTGGTTGAGTTTTTAAAATTTGCATTTCTAGACTGAGAGTCATTCTTTCTTTAGGATGGAAAATTTTCCACAAATTTTCTTAAGCTTTTCCAATGGTCGATTTGTTGATCACTTTGTTAGAAAACCATTTCGTTTTTGTAAACCAATACAAACTAGTGAAAGGGTTTGAGTTAATTGCAGTTAGCCTAAACCTTAGTAGGTAATTTGTATAATGCGACCTGAAAAGGGATGCTGACTTTTGGGGCTAAAACAATTGAGTTGGATAAAGTCTGAAGTTGATGTAGAAAAGTGGCTATTGCGCTTTTTTAAAAAGGGTGACCCTTCTTCCTTTCTTTTATAATGTTATGCTTGGTGGCAGGTTGCACCTTGCATTTTGTTAAGACTCTATGAGAGTAGTGAGCTTTCACTGATCTTAACTTGGTCTTGGTGGCTCTGTGCCTTGGCTAAGGATAATGATGTCTAACTTAGTTGTTTGAGGTTTAAGACCATACTATAGCTTGTCTAAATGGAGGTTGTGTACTAATATGAGTTCATCTCATAGTCTTCACTTTAGTTTCAATTAAGTGTTGATCATACATAGCTAGCCTCTTCAACTAGATGTGTTGGTGAGTTTTGAGTGGTAATTCACTCTTGCTTTCTTCTAGCTTTGTTCTGATGTTAATGGCATTGAAGTGATGATTTATCGTTGACATTATTGATGTTGAGATTTGCGTGAAATGATATGTCTCTCCTTAGGATTGATATTGAGTTTCATTAGTCTCAATGAAGATAGTATTGATGATTTGGCTATGACTTTGCGTTATTGGCATTCGTGCATTTGCTAGTTAGCAACTATGCTAGTGTTCAAATGAGCTAAGTGGCAAGTTTGAGTTAATTGTGTTCTGGTTGAGTTTGGCTTTTCCTTGAAAGGTGATTCAATCGTGGACTATGCCAGCTTTACGAGAGAAAGAGTTAGTGATTGATATCGAATATTTGAGTCCTTGTTGGATTTGAATTGGGATATATCAATCATTGATGATTTTTCCTGTGCTTGTTATGAAGTGGGTTACATCAAGCTATAGATGGATTCATGGAGGATCGTTTGGTGGTCACTTGTTAAGCATAGCTTCATTGTGTTTAGCTTTTGGATTGATGCAAATATGC